TTCAACAGTAACTGAAGACTGGTTAACTCCACTGGGCCCTGGGACGTCAGGTTCAACAGGAATTGTCAATTCTTCAGAATGTCCCAATTTCATTATTTTTTCTTTAATCACTTAAATTATTTCTATCTTTTTCTTACGTTCAGATACTGTGATTTTGAGATTTTTACAAATCTGAATCAAAATTTGCTTGGTAAATTGATTTTCTTTTGTATGAGCTCCGATTTCAGTCTCGGAAAAGAAGCTTGTTTATTTTTAGACCGATTTTCAATGTAAAACTTCATGTTAAATGTCTTAGGAGATTTTTTTTGTCTTCTTGATAACATTTTTGCGAAGAGCTTCCTCCTTTTCCTTTTTTAAATGTGCCAAATAATCTTTCCTGAACTGACTTAGGTTAACTTTCAGAAAAAGTGTAATTACACTTTGAAACGTTTGAATGTACAGTTCACACGAGCTTACCATTCCATACAGAAGCTTGGGAATATCTGAGCCCATCTCTTCTTCTGTAGTGCATTTTCTGGAATCTTTAACACACTGAACCCATAGCTGAAACAACTCCAAATTGTTTAATAGTTCTGTTTTTGCTTTGTCAAATAAACATTTCCCAACATGCATTAACGTTTTGTGTGTGAGTGTTTGGCGACAAAGTAACTCTAACTTTTGAAAAAACTTGAATGTCACATCAGAAATGTTAGCCAGACTTCCACGTGCATTTTGTTTACGTTTCGTTTCACCTAAACTTTCAGGATCACATGAAATCTGTAATTCTTCATAAGAACACATAATGAGTTGTAAATTGTCATTTCATTTTGATATGTTTTCAAATTCATCTCCTTTCCTTTAGCAAAAATTGAATTTTGTATTTTCTTTGATGTGTTGTGTTATAATTTTGCCAGCACATATCCACTAACATAACGCAGCTTGCCTCTTCCACTGGTATCCAGTTCACATTCTGCTGATGGTTTTTTTTATGGTATGGGATCTGACAACTCATCAAAATATGCGTATTGAGAAAATCAGACATTGAATAGCTGAAACAAAAATATTAATTTTCTTGCAAATAATTTTAAATGGTTGGTTTTAATAGCGTGTAAACTTTGTCATATTTTAAAAAAAAATGAGACATGATAAAAATAATCCTTTAATTATTCTGATAAAGGAATCTAATGAGGAACGAGCGTGTCTGAAATTAATAAGTAGGATAACAGTTACAATGACGGATGCAAAGCCGAACAATATGGTACATATTATCGAACAACTTGTACATTGATATTATTCTATGCCCAGCAGTGCACGATGAAATAATTAATTATCAATGAATGCAGTATAATCTCGAAATTAACAGCATTCAGAAATCTTGAATAATTAAAAGAAATATCATAAGGATATTCACCTGGTTCTATCCATTCATTCATGAATGTATACGATATTAGTTAACACACCACCATACGGTTATAGCTAGCTTCAGGAGTGAAAGAGGTACCTAGCATCTCTCAGTGATTATGTTGTGTCTTGGACTATTTTTCGTGTATATCATAATCAATTTTGTCATTTTCTTAAATGCCAGTACTATTTCCCAGTACCAGAAAAAGACATTTTTCAGACCTTATCATTATTCCAGATATTTCAGAGAATGAATGGGATTATCATTCCAGTGAAAATGGAAATTCTCTTTCTTTTTTTTTCTCTCTTTCATAAAAAAAACACTATTGGGGGGGGGGGTATTTTAAGTTGTTTTCGAGGATTGACAAGACCCACCAATTCATGTCCAACTCAAAATTTTAATTTTTTCAATTATATTATAACATAGCACTTGTTTATCCACGAAATCAAATCCCCACAAACCAAGATTTTGTTCTCAAACCACAAAATTTTGTCCCCACGAAAATATGGAATTTTACAGTGATTTTTAAAAGAAATTGAACATGAAAATTCATGTCTTTTTTTTTTTTTTATCTTATTTTCATCTTATGTTCTTCATTTTGAAGCGAATATTGTTTCATGTCATTCATTATTGAAAGGTATCAAACAATTTAAATATTTTTTTTTTCTATAAAGAAAGCATAAATTTTAGTAATTTTGTTATTCAAATGTGCTTACAGTAAGTCAATAATTCGTGATTTCCTTTAGTTTTTATAATTTTATAGGATTTCTTTTCTTTGTAGAGTGCTTGCAATCAACAAGGCGCTTAATTGGTGGAAATATATTCGAAGTACGAAAATGTATGGCTTGATAGAGAATTAACCAATGATAAATGAGGGTGATTCTGGATATATTAATATAGACTCCCTTGAGGGTAATCTCGAGAAACTTGTCGACCGGAGAGAATAAAATGTACATAGTGTTAAAATATCAACAACAGAGGACCGGTCACCGTAGCCTAGTTGTAGGCCGCTCTCTTCGGAACCGGGAAGCCCGGGTTTAATTCTCGTTCGCAGCGCTGTGTCAGACTTACAGTGCAGGAAACTAATTTTGTTACAGCATCGATGCTGATTTGAATGCTTCCTTTGCTTGCTGATTTGAATGCTTCCTTTGCTTGCTGATTTAATGCTAGTAATCCTTATCCTGATGCTGTTTTATAATTAGGTCAATGCTACTGGAAGTAGCATCATGCTACCGGAAGTAGATAATGAATTTCAGCATTGCCGTTTAAAGCAATAAAAGTGCCTTTTACAATTATTTGATCATAATATCTCACTATGTATAAATAATGTGAATACTTAAACCAATATTCTTTCTTTCTTTTTTAATTTTTTACTGAATTAAAACTCATTGATTTTCTGATGCTAATAGGATAATGCTGATTTTATGTAGGTTAATGCTGGTTTTATCCTTTGCTTGCTGATACTGATTCTGGTAATGCTGCTTTTTTAAATGCTGATGCTGATGCTATCTCGATCCTGATGCTACTAATGCTTATGCTGAAGCTGGTTTATGTAACAAAATTAGTTCCCTGCACTGTAAGACGTAAATATAGGTAGTGACGTTTCCTTCGCCAAGCGCCTGACACTAAAAGTAAAGTCCAGGGTCCTTCGGATGAGACCTTAAAAACCGAAGTCCCTTGTCACGGTAGGCGTTGGCACGATAAAAAATACTCACTGCTCAATGGCCCTGAGTGCCTAGTATAGGTCTAAATTTGAAGTCCTTCACCGGCGTACGGTGACGTGTCTATATGAACGAAAAATTCCTCAAATGGGACGTTAAACGACATACAATATATCTATCAACAACAGTGATAAAACCTAATACTCAAGTGTTTGTACATACCCGACCTACTGTGGATTGATAAATTTGATTTGAACCATATAATTTGATTTTGCTATAAAACATCACAATCAACAATATTCAAGGTAGGGTTATATAAGTAAAATGAAATAATTCTATTTAATATGCATGTTGAAAAGTAGTTGAACAAAGTCTATTTCCTACAGCATTTTAGTGAGTATATATAATTTTTTAAAGATTTAGCATGTTATTCGCTTGCCGAAATAGTAATAAGAAGTTAATGATCGGAACATAAAATTGAAATATGACGTGAGATAAGATGGCAGTACATGAAAAATGTCAGAGAAACTAATTAATTAAAACTTTTTTTATATATTCCATACGACCTACTTCGTCTTCACATCTTTCCTTTGAAACACTCATTTTTCATTTCGAATACATTTTAGGTAAGGTACCAAACCGTACCATAAAAATAGATAAACCTTGATTTGCATGTAGGAAAATAATAATCATGCTTTTAAGTACCGGTTTCTAATGCGGTATCGCTTTACAGACGAGAGAAACCGCTGGATCCGAGCTACAGACATAGTGACTGAGGGTCAGTTTCCATGGAGTTTCTCTAACACTAAGCTGGATTTTCACAACTGGAGGAATGGGAACCAAATAACAGACCCTAGGAAGAATACTGTGCCGTGATAATGAAGGACGGGCAATGGAACGATTTAAAGTGTTACTGCAGTCAAGCTTTTATTTGCGAGAAGAATTTGTTTTAGTTCTCATTTCCTTGAAATAAATGTTGAAATAAAGGGTTTGAATATGGTATGACATACAACTTACTAGCTGTGTACTTGAGGTTTAGTGTAGCTAATGTATAGAGAGACTTTTTCGTCAATGTTATATTTTCTCTCTTTTTTGCCCTCATATTGGGGAATTTAAAAGAGGTAACAATCAAGGGACAGTAATTATATCTCTAGTTTATAATTCAGAAAATTATAATTATTATCATTATTATTAAAATCTAACGAACCGATCTAGGAGAACACATTTGAATATATGTCTTCTCTTATAACAAATGAAGTCGGCAAAAAACAGTATGATTTGCAAACATGTTTAAATATACATGAACATATTTTAAGCGATTTCCATTCCGAATTCTATTTTTCCTGTAAATATGTAAATTTCTTTCATAGGATAAGTTTCACAAATATTTGTCTATTAAAATAGTTTTTACTGAAATTCAAAGATACACTTGGATGGCTCACTGAGTCTGACGAGTTTAATCAATATCATCTAGGTGAAAGCATACATGTTATTTAAAAAAAAGTCCCAATAAAATAAAACACATTTAATTAATTAATCTAGATTTCAAAATAACATGGAATTCACTCAAAGCAGCCTGCATAGAATTTGGAGAATAGATCCACAATTCTTTAACTGAAATAAATAATTTCCATATTAAAGACACACAACGAAAGAACAAGGTCGAGGATAATCACTCACTATTAAGTTGATCAATTCTGTAGTATCTGTAAAGGCGTGTTAATGCTGTGGGGATGGATTAGGCTTACGATAATAATGTTAATATTAAGCATATTAATAATTAGTTTGAATTAAAATGTTCTTGGAAAAATTGAATAGATAAAACTTCCTTGATATAAACCTTTCATGCTTCATGTACATATACAAAGCTTTGACAAAATATTATATTGTTTTTCCCTACAGGTCCTTTCTACTCAGTTCCGTATAAAACACACAATTGGTACTTTTTTTGTATTTTGTTAAATATTGGCATAAACGTTGTCCGTATTCAGAAAATCACAAACAGCTTTAAAACAGAATGCATATTCTTCCTGAAACAGAACGAGAGAATATTGAATGTTGTCTATTAATAAGAAACTTTTTTATGAATAATCTTTCTAGTAAATTCCTTTGTTTCTATTTATAGAAGTAGAATTTTGTATCAGATGATGATTCTCAATATTAATGTTGCAATATATATTGATATCTTGGATATCAAAAATGATTCTAAAACATTTTTGTGTCCCTGTATACAATGTTCAAATTTATAATAGCGATTCACAGAAAAAAAATTACCATGTGTAAATATAGCACCAAAATATATTATAAAATATTTTTTTCACATATTTTGTTTTTTAAGGTCTGTAGGAAATAACATACATAATCCATGGCAGTGAGAGTTACTACCTTGGTAGAAATAATTTCCGGTCTGCAACATTGCAATTGCTGAACAATGGTACAGATGTCAACTTCATTGTCCTGGTGTAGCTGTTCTATTGCATTATATACAGACATGAATACACCACAACATGTTGCTCCGTCTCTGCATTAAGACCAATGAATATACATGTATGTATATAGCACAGAACAAGTACTGTATTGCAGGCATTTTCTATTTTACACCGTTTTGAAATTCTTAATTAATCACTTAGAAATCGAATGTGTCTTTTTATCCCTGGAAATTATTTTTTCCCAAAATAAAATTTTCTTTTTATATTTTTAAAGTGTTTTTTCATTGTGATTTTGGATTTTCATAGCCACTTTTTTTTATCAGAACACATAAGGCAGAGACGTTTGAAATGACAAGTAAAATGACAATTAATTTTTTTTTAGTTTTATATCAATTTTTCAAAGTAATACATGACGCAACCTATTATTTCCACTCGCATATTCTTACGTTTATTTACATTTGCAAATATTTTTCTTAGATGAACCAATTGAAGAGAAAATATTTTCAATTCAGTATGAACTTATTAGGGGGTCAGAGGTCATGGCGTGACCGAATCACACAGCGAGATGATATCTTGTCTACATATTTCTGTCACGGTCACGGGTGACACAGGTTTCGGAACTTCTAAGCCGTTAAAGCGATGGAAATTATTGTAACATATATGTTTATTTTCGTTCAACAAATGATCATTAGTTCTTTTTTCGGTGTGAAGGATGTTTTTAATTAGCCTAAAATCACGCTTACCTTTTTAACCCGAAATCCCTTTGAAGATATGTAAACTGAAGACGATACCACCGCTTTTGACTTCATATATTAAGAACCTATACAATAATAGTAAGATTATTCTCAGTAGCGATCATGGTTTTTTCAGTATGAACAGATATTTCCTGAACTGGACTGCTGAACATCAATGTAAGTATTCAAATGTTGGAGCGAGGCAAACTCTCAAAACCAAACAGATTCTAGGTCATTGCGCGTCACAACAGAGCGGCGGGCCGTTCGTGTAGTAAATGCAGTTCTTTTCAGAATATTCGTCTCAAATGTAAATAAAAGTAATAAACAACAATATTAAAAAGTTCACTGGGAAATGAACTTGGTTGGTACGTGATCAAATCTTCTGAGAAGCCCTTCGGGCCTCACAGGATTTGATCACGTGACCAACCAAGTTCATTTCCCAGAGAACTTTTTAACATTGTTTTTTTATTTCTTAAATAGATATTATATAGGTATTTCTTAGATACGTACATGGAGACAAGTGTCACTGGTCCATTCGGTTCAGATTTTCGGTCAAGACTGAACTGTTTGATTAAATTTATCAACGTGGATGTATCAACCGGAAGTACGTCATCGATGTTCCAATCAAGGCATTCATATAAACGGACATTTTGAGTTTTTCCCTTTCAAACATAAAAAAACTTATATTTCATTATAAATAATTTATATATATATATATAATATTAAAAAAGAACACCTTTTATCAACGTATCCTGTTATTAAAAAAATAAAACAACAAAAACGTAAAACTATTTAACAATATCGATTGTGAGTTAAGGCTAGGTATAGGCGTTTCTATGCAAATGAGCTAATAAAAACGTATAAGAGGTATATTTATTAATCAGAGAAAGTTTTGAATCATTTTCTTATTCATACTTAGTACCCACGATATGTTATAGCTAGTGTACATTATGACGTCATATTATGACGTCGTTGTTCTTACATACTGGAGGTAATAAAACACATCAACAAAACAGCTACGGCGCAAGGGATTACCCTATTTAATTTGACATAAGGATTGTATGGTGCTAAGAAGAATATTCCATAGATTAATAAAACTACTGCACAAATCTTACGCGTTTTCTCATTTGATCGAAATTTGAGGAAACTTATACCGGACTGTATATTTTAACCTGATTCAACTTCAAACCATACAAATAGTAATTAAACAACTGAGCTGTTGATATTTGTGCAGCAATACCAGCAATCTTCGGAATATTTCGATCCTAAATTGTTCGCTCCGTGATCGGGAGGTCGTGAGTTCGAATCTCGGCCGCGACTGACCTAAGTCGATAAAAAATGCGTAGCGACTGTTCCTTCGCCATGCGCTCGGCACTTTGAAGTGAAAGTTGCGGGTCCTTCGGATGAGACCTTAAAAACCGAGGTCCCCTGTCACGGCAGGCGTTGGCACGATAAAGATCCCTCACTTCTCAATGGCCCTGAGTGCCGAGTAAAGGTCAAAATTTGAAGCCCTTCACTGGTATATGGTGACCTCTCTATATGAGTTAAAAATTCTCGAAAGGGACGTAAAAAACATACAATCAATCAATCGATCCTAAATTTACCTTATTTCACTTTAATAAAATAGAGCATGCCCTAACACCGTAGTATTTTTGTTGATGACCATTATAATCTTGTTTAGTAAAGAACAGTGACGTCATAATATGACGTCATAATGTGTACTGGCTATCTCATGTTTTGAGTACTAAGTATGTATTAGACAATAAGTTAAAGAGTTAAAGTTTCTCTGTATAATAGATATAGTACTTGGGCATTTTAATTATTTTTTTAGCATAGAAATGCTTATACCTAGCCTTAACTCACCTGCGATTTTTTTTAACCATATTTTGATTTGTGAAAAAGTTATTATCTACCTTCTTCTCTTTAATTTTTAGAGTTGTCTTTCGTATATCACTGTTCAAAGTTGACTGCGCACTTTTAATAATTTCGTATGGGCCCAGCTTGAAATTCTTCACTTCCTCATCAACCCATTCTTTTATCTGTACGAAGTGAATGTAACATATATAACGCCATTTTTTAACTTATGGACAAATAAAATAAATGTAGATGCAGGACATTGTAATACATTTTTATGTTGTTTTTTTTTAAATGCTCCTTGAACTTAATGCTATATTTCTCATAAGATATTTTCATTGATAATAATTTTTGGTTTGCTTGATTTTATTTTTATTTTTTTAAGGATTTCACCTTAGGCTTGACAGTGTTTTGAATTAAAAGTGTTAAAAATTACCTTTCTACTTTTTAAACACATTTTTTACAATATTTTTTTTAAAGAGGTATAGTCCTTTACAAAAATCTAGAGTTTTTTTTCAATTTAAATTTCTATAGAATACAAATTTGCATTGAAAAAATCGAAATTTTTGTAGAGGACAGTATGAATGAGAGTTCTTAAAATGCGCATTTGGCAACCACTATTGAAATAGCGACCACTATTGAAATAATTATTTCAATAGTGATTGAGAGTGCATTTCAAAACCAAACACAGGTTGTAACTAGTATTGAAATAACGTTCACTGTTGAAAAAATTATTTCAATAGTGGTTGAAAATGCTTTTCAGAACCGAATACAGATTGCAACCACTATTTTGAAATAACGTTCACTATTGAAACAATGATTTCAATAGAGGTTTTGAGTGAATTTCAAAACCTAAACCAGGTTACAACCACTATTGCGGTAATTTTCACTTGTAAAATGAAGGTTTCAATAGTGAGTGAAATTATTATTTCAAATATTTGATGACAATGATTCCAATACCAAAAACAACACTGCAAGCCTCATTGAAATAGCCCCACTATTGAAAAAAAATATAAGGATAAATTCTTCATTATCTTTTCTAGAATAATTAATAAATTTTTTGAGATTAAAATATGATATGTAATTTCATGCTTTAGTTTCTGTCTAGAAATACTATTAATACTTTTAATACACGGATATCTTTGATTTAACTGATCTAGTAATTTTAAGTAATTTGTTATATAAGGTTCATCTTTGCTATTAATTGGGAAAGTAAAAGATTTCAAATACAGAAAGTTGTAGAAATTATAGAATATCTACATTACAAAGAAGAAAGAAGACATCTATGTGTACAAAGTTTCTGAGGAAAATATGGTCATTTTCAATGAAAAGGATATAGAATAGAAGTAAAATCGCGCTTATATTCATGGACGATAAATATTGTACCAATCTGTATTAATGATCCTCATTTTAAACTCACTAAATTAATTATTATGTTTGAAAACGTAATGAACAACTCATCCTTATATTTTTTTTCAAATAGTGGGGTTATTTGCAATGTGGTTTTGGTATTGAAATCATTGTCAGCAACTATTAAAATAATTATTTCAATCACTATTGAACTCATTATTTCAATCACTATTGAAATCTTTATTTCAAAAGTAAACATTTTTTCAATAGCAGTTGCAATTAGGTTTAGGTTTTGAAAAGCATTCAAGACCTCTATTGAAATCATTGTTTTTAGTGAAAGTTATTTCAATAGTGATTTCAAACTGTGTTCGGTTTTAAAATGCATTTTCAACTACTATTGAAATAATTATTTCAATTGTGAACGTTATTTCAATAGTGGTTACAGCCTGTGTTAAGTTTTGAAATGCACTCTCAATCACTATTGATATAATCATTTCAATTAAAGTTATTGTAATAGTGGTTAAAAGAGTGCTTGTTCTAATTTACATGCGGATATGAAATACAAATTGCGTTACCTCTCTGATGCCAGACAAGGGATTGAAAGATATAAGAAAATGTGACTCTTGATCAACAAGTAAGCGAGCTAAATCAATGGCAGCACCAAAAACTGGAAGTTGAGCAGAAATAAACTCACAGGGTTGAGTGAAAGACTGAATGTGAAAAAAAATCAACATTCTTTTATTTAAAATTATTGACAATGATTTTCACATGTAATTCTGGGATAACAACAGTAGTCAAGCTCAAAGTCCATTTAAACAATATGTTCAACAACATTTCACATAACATTAACAAATCAGAAAACCATGTATGTTTGTGGCCTGTTATTATTCAAACAATTATGCAGTGTATGAAATCTTGAATTGTATTCCAATGAATATTTTAAAATCATTAACTAAATGGTAGTCATTTTAACTATTCATGAAAACATACCGACAAAGTCACTGCATTGTAATAATGGTCTCGACCCCGAACGTAAGACGTCAAATACACCAAGTGCTGGTCAACTGCGTGAAGTGTAAAGTATGGTATGATAAATGCAGTATTGTATAATTCCTAAACATTTATATAATTAGTAGTGCTGTTAAGCATTGCCTTTTATATTTTAGGTACAAGGATGTCTTTTAAAGGAATAAAAAAAAAATACGAGTTACGGTATTTATTCCCCTTGCAAATAATACCTGGTAAAACAGATTTCGTAGAGTTCAGTGCGAGATGCTTCATACCCATTTTAAACTCTTTTGCATCATAGGCTGGTTTTAAAGTTGTAAGATTCTATTAAATCACAAATGAAACACGTGAATTGATTTACTGCAAGTTAAAGCCATATTATGCTTAAAAAGTAAGACAAAAGAAAAACTGAAAAAATTAAAACTATGACATTTACGTTGAATTCATCTGCTATTTTTTTCCTTGTTTCTCGAGCGTTGCTATCGCTATAGCATTTTATAAATTCTTCACGTTTGACGAACCCTCCTTTTCTTCTGAAGAACTCGTACAAAGCCTTATACAGAAAGACGTATTGATCCTGAAAATCACAAACGGTTTATCAAGCAACCTTTTTACGATTTTTTGGAAAAAAAAGTATCATGATTTTTTATTATCTTTTACCTTATCAGCATTTCCTTTTTTTTCTTTCTTTTCAAATTTACGTTAATACAATGACTTAAAACGTGCTGATTGAAAAATACTGTTTGAAAGGAATGCTCGTATATTTCATTAAAGAAGATACTCTGTAAACACTCAAACGTACTGCATTCTGAATTAAGGTCATTCTGTCCTTACGCATGGCCTTGACATACTCTATGACATTGACCTTGCCCGTATCACTTCCACAGCTAGTCAGAACGTCAAAGGCAATGAAAGTCCCTGTTCGTCCAATTCCGGCACTGGAAAACATAACAAACTTTATCTTGAAATATAACGAATAATTTTCAACCTCAAAAGTCCATTCAAACAATACAAATCAAGGGCAGAGCAAACACGGACATCTAAGACATCAGAGGTATGATCAAGTGCCTTGGAGGAGGCCCATCCGCCATGTGCTCCTTGTCATGATCGGGAAAAATGGCAAAATCCGTCGACAATTCAGTTTTAAATGATGGCCGAACAATTGATATGAAAAACGTCAGGTCAGTCAGCATTTGACCTCATGATATATTGTACTTTCTGATAAGGTCATTGTATCTACCATGGAACTTACTATTTCTGATTACAATTTTTGAAAGAAAAATGAATTCAGCTTCAACTTTGAATTAATAAAAGCCCCGTGTTGATTAATTAGCAAGTTTACGTGAACGGTTTTATAATTGGCATACGTTATGATTGTAAACTGTTTTAAAATGCAAAATTTATTCTAAATATGACCATATCCCTTAATGCACTTTCTAAGCAAACGCTGAATATTGATATAACGATATAGCTTCTAATTTTATAAAAGAATCCCTAGTATCTTTTGAAACCTTGAATAAAGGATTTAGTAAAAGAAATATGTATGTTACTTTCTACGATTTTTTAATAAAAAAAATGTTAGGTATGACGTATGGTATGTGACTTCTTTTTTTTTTTTTTTTGCCTTAAATGGTGGTCTTGAAAATAACATATATATTTTTGCCTATTTTTGTTTAATCTAATAACAATATTTTTTTCTAAGCAAGTATGCATGAGAAATTATATTTTCTCTCACCTGCAATGTACGACAAATGGATGCTGACTTGGGTTCATTTTGTGTCTGAAGTGTCTATGAAAGACGACAAAATTCAATGGATTTGGAGTTCCATGATCTGACCATCGGGTGTAATGAAATTGCGTGACCATTCTTGACCCAGTGACCTAAAATCCATAATTGTCATTATAAATCTTTAAAAAAAAAAGTAACGAATTAAGTGAGTATTTGCTCGTAGGAAATGTTATTATATAAAAATTAGCACTTATAAACTTACTCTTTTCTTCCGCAAAGTCATTGTCCTTATCATATAATTTGAATACATTTTTTCTTCCTCTAACTTTATGGAGAAAAGGCCTAAATCTAATTCCTCTCCTTTGCCTGGCCAATATTGGTGACATTTGATCTGTAATAAAACCCTCCTCTTAATCTTTATATGTGTTAATTGTTTCTAAGTAAATAGAAAAAAATAGAAAATTCAGTTAGTGGCTTTGAATTGTCTAAATGTTTTCTTTGAAATTAGAAAGTGTTAGAGGTTTGTTAATTTAAGCATTGTGAACATTATAGAAATTATTTACTAAGTAAGTATATAAAAAATGAAAATTCCAAAAGTGCGATTTTAGAAAAAAGTTAACAAAGCAATGCCATATTTTGCCAAGTGATTTGTACTGAAAATTTAATAAAAATTAAAAGCAAAAAGTTAATGTCTAAAACACACAAAATAAAACTGAGCGCGATACCCTCTTTCTTCTTACTTAATTTCTTACCAATGGTTTTTCTAAAAATATATAGTTGAATTTCGAATCATGAACACTTGTATCTCGAAAGGTTATGGTTATGTTGACGTTATTTTTGAAGTTCAAACGCCTTATTCTATAAATATTTAACGCTTGGTATCTCGAATTTTTATTCGGTCCAATTGAATTCGAGATAAGGAGATTCAAGAGGATTTTGTAAGCATCCACGTATTTTTAGACCAATTTATAATAATGGATACAATGGAATTATTTTTTCAGACAAAAAATATATTGGGACATCGGGTTGCAGTTTGGTTCGTCTCCCTAACCAGCACCTTTTGTGAGAATAATCTTTGTATGTTTATCTGATATGGACTTTTTCATATTAAAGTATTCCCTCAATTCATCAGAATACAAACTTCTCATTAAAATCTACTTTTCCATATCCAATGAAATAAGATTTCTTTCCGTTTTATCCTTTGCATTTCATTTATTTTCTTTCTTTTTCTGTTCCCCCTCCCTTCTGAAAAACTTCACTATATCCGTTTGCTATACCTGTACAAAAGGTGAAAACGTTAAAGGAGTAGGTATCTCTCTTCGGAAAATGTCCGTCAAATACATTTAAAACTTTGCAATTATCGGAAAAATGTAGGCCTGCTATTAAGTGCCTATAGTCTGAGTAAAAATATAAAGATTTTCCCAAGATGTCACGGCTAAATTTAAAATTAACGATGATTTATAATCTTGTAAATTCTAATTATAGTTAACGGACCTCATTACTGTAAAAGCATTATTAAAGGTGCAAGCCTTTTAGAGTTTAGAATTTTATTCCTTATTAGCATCAGTAGCCTTTTATGATAAATGCGCACCGTTGAACCTTCCTGGAGATTTGTTAACATGACGATGTATTCTACATTCTCCTGCCAAACCATTCTCCAGTGGTCAACCACCGTATTTTCTCTCGGTCCTAAGAATTTATATTATCATTTCTGATCTGATTATAACATAAAACAAGAAAGCCTGTAATAATTAAAGAAATAATTATTTTCAAACAAATGTAAAGAAAAGGGATGAAACATACGCGGTATTGTTTATTATTTTATCTACCTTTATACAATTATTTTAAAAAATATTTTCCTACCTTGGCATGCAATGTACTCAGGTTTTCCTTCTATGTTCTTTTTAAATTAAATCAATTAAGATTTAGTTCAAACATTCTAAAAATTGTCAAATTAATTTTCAGGTTATTAATATTCACGTTAAATCATTTGCTACATACGTACTTCAATGAAGTTTGCATTTATATAATCCGAGGTATAGCCATTTTCAAGTTCTAATTTCACCCTGGAATGGTCATCTAAAATAATTTAATATACATGTAATTTAATTTTGGTTGGAACAGGTCATTTGATTGGATAAAATATTAGTCTATAATCGTATGACCTGTGTTGCCTACGTCACAATAACTTACGTCAAAAACGTATCAATCCGCTTGACGTTACATTTGAAATTTGCTCAATTTGAAGGCATTTTTGAAAGATAATTTGACTTAATTTCAATATTTCATAATGGAAAATTGAATTATTAGGAATGGATTTAATAGCTACCAAAGTTATACTGGTATAACCTGGGTTGGGGCAGTTTACTTTTTTTTATAAATCGCTTCGCGGTATATAAAGCGTAAACTGCCCTAATCTAGGTTACACAGTGTAACTTGGGTAGCTATAAAATTCATTCCTTAAATAACTATGAAATTTTAATACAAAACTCCTAGCCTTATCTACGGTCATAGTTTTGATTTATTTTTCTTTTAATTTTCTGTTCAGATTTTTTTTTCTGTTGTTTCATTATTCTTAAAAACCCAGAAGGAATACTTCATTAATCTTTAGTTATTAATTTAATGAATAATATCCAATTAAAATAGAGAATGGCATGCATGCAGATAAATGAATGGAATACTTTATAATTCTTACAAGGAAAGGTCGTTTTAAATCTGTTCTTAAGCAAGTTTTCTTCCAATTTTGCAGTAGTACAGTCGAATCTTTCTCCATATGGAAGAGACTGCATAAACAGTTTTGAAATTGTTAACATTGCATTCAGTGGAAAAACTTATCGCAAAACATTACAAAACATACAGTTATTGACTTTAACTTTCTTTGCGTATTATAATATTTAATCAAATTATTTTCAACAACCTTGAATTCCTTGTGGAAACCTTCATTTTGGTTGGATTCCTTCTCTTTAATTATATTGTGGAGGTTGGTTACAGCAATGTCCTTAGCCACAATCAAATTATTGTAATAAACTGTCTCTTCCGGATTTTCTATCTGTGGTTCTTCATCGGGATCTTGTAATATCACAGACACCGTACCTTTGTTGTCAGTTATTTGGCTCATATCTAAAAAAAAATCACCGAATTAAAAAAAAAAAGTGAAAAAGAAAAGCACATCTTAATACGATGCTAGAAATAGCCTGGATGTGTTATTAAGTACAGTTCCACGTAACAATCAGGCAGCCTATATATAAAAGGTGATACATGGGGGTTCTCAGAAATTAATGATTTTTCACTCACAGTTTTTTCTTGGTCTATAAGCCGTGTATGTGGAAGGAAAAATATTTTGGGTCATTGTTACTATGGAAACCTGGACAAAGAAATTTCCCTAGCAACCGCCCAATTTTTCTTTGTAGATTGACGAAATTTCACTCATTTTGAAGGCTTTATACCAAACGTAAATATAGTGATTTTTTTCTCTTATTTAGTGTAATAAGAAAGATACATTTTTAAAGTGTTCTGTCAACATAATAAAAAGAAATTACATTCTCTAATATATTTGCTATAGACACAGGTAAAGATACATGTTTCCCATTTTTTGCTGATTCAGCATTTTGCTTGATTTTAGCAAAAATCAAGTCAATATTATTCATTTCACCATCTTAATACAACTGTTTCATCTATTTCTTGTAAAACTACAGGAAAGCTTCTCTAAGAATTTGAAATAAAAAGTTTTGCAAATTTGAAAATTCCTATCTGTTGCTAAGCAACAAAAATGGATGGTTTGATTAATTAAAAAAGGATAATTGTAAAACATTGGAAGAAAAATCGTATAAATTGTAATCATTGAGTACCAAATACAAATTTTAAACTAATAGAATATTCAATATTCTTCCTTGTATACTAAAGATTATTTTACAATAAGCTATCTCCATAGCAACAGCAAATTTTCCTTAGCAACGAAGCATTGAAAGTTATTTTTAGCACATATTCATCTAAGTTTTAAAAGATTATCTGATTCTCATTGTTGGATTGCTATTGCCCAGAATCGACATTGTCAAACTGTTTTTTAAAAAGTATTTTTTTAAGTTAATTCATCCATAGCAACAGAACTTGTCTACATAGCAAATGTATTTTATAAAGAATCAGTATGTAGCAATTCCTCAACAAAAATCTTTGTCTTTAAAGGATGTTTACTAGGCAAAAACATTCTACTAATGGGAATGAATATTACTTACTTGCCTTATGACTGTGGTATTTTTTTCACTTTGAAATAGTAAATCAATAACCTATTTTTCATGCTAGTGGCTTATTGAGACTCTAGAGTCTTAAAATTTCTTGCAAATTCCTGAAAATTTTGCATCATGACCAATATTTGCAACGAAAACTGGGTAGTCTAACTTCTGATAAGTTTAAAAAAAAACAGTAATCTCGTAATAAAAAAAATAGATTTTTGATAAGGTCTACTTGTGACAATGCAGACCTGGTGAGGTATTGGTTGACCGAGGCCGAAGGCTGAGGTTAATCAGTTTCTGACAAAGTCCGTATAGTAACAAGTAGACCTAATTCAAAAGTCAATAACTGTATTTTAAAGTATCAGGATTTTTTTTTTTTTTTTTTTTTTTTTTTTTTTTATTTTTTTTTTAACATTTTTCACAATCCACCTATTTTCTTCATCAAATATATATTAACGCCCATAATATACTTAGTATTTTGTTTTGCAGCAAGATATCATAATTATTTTTCAACAGTTTAAACTGTTTAACAAAGGTGGAAAATAGTATATTAAAACTATAAATATTCAAACCATTTACTTATAAGGAGTTTAGACGGTTCGGTACTGGAGTCTGTGCGCAATTTGACTGGCAGATAAAAATGTAAGCAAAGCTATCAAGATTGGCTAAGACAGAAAACCTAAATAAACAAACTCTTTGTAGCGAGACTTCTGTCTCCTGAATTACAAGATAAAAAAAAACTTATTTTGATGAGATTACTACATATGTAATAAGTTATAATGAGATACTAACTCATGAACAAGATAGCTAATTTATTATTAAAAAAAATGACTAACTCGTTAACACGTTTTAACAAGATAACAAACTCGTTGTAACGAGACTACTAACTCCTGGAGAATGAGATTAAAAAATTATTATAATATGATACCAACTCGTTATAAAAGCAAGATAGGAAATTCATTTTATTGGGGGTAACTAATTCATTATTTAAGGAATGAATTTCATAGCTACTCCAGTTATACCGTACGGTATAACCTGCGTTGGGACAGTTTCCGCTTTATAAACCATGAAGCGGTTCATAAAAAGGGTAAATTGTTCCAACCCAGGTTATACCAGTGTAACTTGGGCAGCTATTAATTAAATTCATTTCTTATAATTTAATTTTCCAATTAAGGCAATTTTCCTTAAAGTGACAGTACGGCGCATCTCATCAAAAAACTGACTAGATAAAATTTTTCGACAAGATTTGGAATTTTTTTACTACTCATAAATGTATTAACTTTCAGAAAATTACAACTTTTACAATTAAATAATTTGGATTATTTCATTAAAATTAATAGTTATTTATGGGACGTAAATATATACATCGCAACGTGTTCGGGGTTCCACATTCCATGCTATGCACGCATGCGTAGTTTTCATAAACAAAACAGCATGGTTAGAGAGGGAATCCCGGTAGGCCTGCTACATTGACAAAGTCGACCAAAAAGAAAAAGAAACTGAAAATAGAACTTGAAAAAGCAACTTTCATGACTAAAATTTAGTTTGGGGATTAATAAAATCGCTGGATAAGGAAGAAACGGGAACTCGGCGACACTCACGCAGGGCTCTCGAAGGTTCTATTCGACAGGTTTGTTGATACTTGTTATCATTTCTCATTTTCCCGTCGCTTTCAAAGAAAAAAAATAGTGTAAACTCAACATTAAAAATACATCTTTGACTTATAAACATTGTTACCATTTGAAATGCTAATTTTTTTTAACTGTGCAGAAAAATATTTTGTTTGACATTTGCCGCGATAACGTATGATTAGTTGGTTTTCCCTTTCTCGGACCCCAATACACAAAACGTAAACATTTGTACTTTTAATTCTGTTAAATTCGCCTGAATGCAGACTAAAATCTTTACGATTATTATTTTAGATTATTTTATCAGAAAGTTATGATAATTTGTGTTTTTGAAAATTGCTTTCACCTAATATTCATTATAACTGTAAACTCTACAGTGTAGGCACGTGCCGTTTTAGAATTCACGTGGTACAAATAAACAGATCTAAGATTGCTCCAGTTCGTACGACCCTTGATTTTCCGGCAGATTCTAATTACGTTAATTTTGTTTGAGTAGAGAATATTTCTGTTTCTCAAACTGCTTACATCAACTTTATACCTTATTTGTTAATGACATATTGGGTAAATTTGGATGAAATAGCACACATTTTGCAGCCGTACTGTCGCTTTAAGAAATGCCTTCAAATTAAGCATATTTTAAAAGTACCTCAAGCCAAATAATACGTTTTTGGTGTAAGTCATTGTGACGTAGGCAACATATGTTATACGGTATAAACTACATCTTTTATTCTATCAAATGACGTGTTACAACCAGAATTAAATTATTACGAGATAACTAACTCTCGATTTTTATTATTTACTAGTCTAGTTATTACAGGCTATTTACATGTAATAACTAAAAAATATTTTTGATATAACGAGCTTAAGAAAAAATAAAAGAAATACACTGAAAATAGTGATAGTCTTGTTTCATGAAATAAACAATTAAAGTTTGTGCTTTAACTGTAATCTAAGCTTGTTTTATATCTCCAAGTTGGTTCAATACGCAAGAGATGCTCTAGGTACGAATAATTTCTAAAAGGAGGCAAGCTACTGACAAACAAGTTGATGAAATAAGAATATCAACAGTCTTGTTTATAGTCATAATTTCGCAAGTTCTATGGTCGATACAATGACTTTGTCAGCAAATGCAATCTATCTTTGAATTGTATGCTGACTGAACCCATTCATAGTATTTTTTTTTATTGATTATATCCTTAATATTCCTTTGTATAAATATGATCTCCTGTTATGGCGCCTCTATTCTCCTGGGTGGCAATGATTTGAAAAAAAATTAAATTAACATTAACTGAAGATGCTTTTATATTTTTATGACCAATCATGGCTTTGTTGGTCTTGTGAAGAATTTAAGATTTCCCCTTTGTCTTCATATTTAAAACTTTGATCGCCCATTGTGGCCCCGCCCTACCCCATGATTTGAACAAGATTTTTTTTAAATGATGCCATTAATTTTTCACAAAATCATCATAATATCCCTTTGGAAGAAGGCGTGTCCCTTCATCTGAACAAACTTGAATCCTCTTTACTCAAGGATACTTTGTGGCTAGTTTGGTTGAAATTGGCCCAGTGGTTCTTGAGAAGGTAGATGAAAATGTGAAAAGTTTACAATTACAACGACGACAGACGTCGGACTCTTTTTGATCAGAAAAGCTCACTAGAGCCTTCACTCAGGTTAGCTAAAAATCCTTAGCAACTTCAAATTTGTTCCCCCAAGAAGAAGGATGATCGTTGTTGATTCTGAGGTCACAAAGTCAAGGGTAAAAGAAAAATAACCCAGACAAGAATTTTTTTTTCCTTTCCAGCCAGTGATCTTGAGCTCGGAGGAATGATCTTTATTCAATATGAGGACACACCCTCGGATCATTAGCAAGCTCTGTTTCAAGTAAAGCTACAAGTGAATCACCATTACAAAGTTGGAGTTCAGACAAGCATTTAATATGTTTTCGTCAGTGACCTTGAACTTGCCAAAACCTATATGGGTCAAGGTCATGAATTACCCATGGTCAAAAGCATTCTCTGTACAACGTATAAGCCTATTAATTCTCAATTACAAAGTTAAAGGACAAACCAGAATTTTATACTTTCTGTAAGTGAACTTGAACTTGCGCGCAAAAATGGGTTTGGGTTAAGGTCGGCTTTACTCTTAGGTCAAAAGCAATCTTTGTACCAAGTATGAGCTTCTAGTAATTCTCCATTATATAGTTTTTCTGCCAGTGAATACGTACTTGCCGGAATGACCTAGGGTCAAGGTCAACAAACAC